TAACATTGCCAAGGCTAGAGAGAAAATACTTAAATCTGTCTCCTTGTCAACGGACTGCAGCTAATGGAGAGGCATCTGTCTTCTTAGCGTTTAGATGATTAAAATTATAATCATGCTGTTTAATATACACCGGAGTCAGCTGGCTTCTGCAAATACAGCCATACCTGATTTCTCAAGTTTATTGAAATGCAAATATTGTGGCTACTGGGAATTATTATTAGAAATTATATTTATTGGATTTTGCATATTAAATATATATTTTTCCAAGAAAGCAATTAAAGATAACCTTTGCAGAATTGGATGTTCTGCTAAATCTGATTTCACGGCTAATGTTAAGTGCCTACTAAATCTTAATGAAACACAAATCTATTTATTTGTGTGTAAGAAGCACTAACTTCATGCCACCTGTGGGAAAGAGGCATTTCATCTGTCTGGTCCCAGGTCAGGCAAGACAGGTCTCTGATGGTCACTAATGTAGACTGTTTAGTGATAAGAGTTGGCAAACTAGCTTCCTTTTCATTGGTGTCACATATCACATGCCTGCCTTTTTTATAAAGTAATCTAGAGATACCCTGAAATGAAGTAGATCGGGAGCACAATAGTCACTTCTTGCAGGGCATGTGACATGGCAGCAAAGGAGCTGTGTCCCAGGCTGTAGTGTGTGAGTGTTGGTGTGTGTGAGCATGCATGTGTGCATGTGTGTGTGAGCATATGTGCTTGCGTGTGATTGCGTGTATGTGCATATGTGTATGTGTGCATCATGAGTGTGTGCATTTGTGAATGCATGAGTGTGTGCATGTGTGCATGTGTGTGCATGTGTGTGTGATTGCGTGTATGTGTATGTGTGCATCATGAGTATGTACATTTGTGCATTCATGCGCATGCACGCGAGCGTGTGTGTGTGTGTGTGTGTGTGTGTGTGTGTGTGTGTGTTTGCAGGGGCTCTTATGTATGTACGGAGAGGAAGACAGCTTTCCAGTCTTTCTCTTTTCTGTCTTAGGACTTGCTGAACACCAGGGTCATTCTAACAACTTTCAGGAAAGCTAGTTATGATTTAAGGAGGAAAAAAAACCAAACATTTTAAGTGATGTGAGACAATCAGGTTTCAAAACTAAGTTGGTCAGAGGGCTGAGCTGAAGTGTGAGTCTTTGACTCTCTTGTTTTTATTTTGAGGGACCGGTAATCTGAAATGGAGACTGATGAAGTCTTTGATTAAGTATTTTGTTACATATTAATATCTCCTTATTGGAGTCCCGTGAAAGTGAGCCTTTCCTATTAACTGTTGCTAAGCTCCTTGAAAGAATGGGTGGCGGGAGCCTCACAGAAGGCCCGAGAAGCAGGCGTCCTCGTCCTCTTCGTAGGATTGAAGCATCGGAGCTCTCAAATTTCACGAGGTGTGGAGAGACCCAGCTCTCAGGGGTAGCCTGGCTGGTGTCAGGTGCTTTCCCAAGCACTGTTTATTTGGCGGCCCACCAAAGAGGTATCGTGTCCTCAATTACAGGCCAGAAACTGGAGCCCTCCCCCGGGACAGTCATTAAGCTAAGGACCCTTAAGCAGCAAATCTGCTGTCGGATGCCGGGCAGCTTTCCCCTGTCCTGTCCCTCTCCTTTCCTGATGCTCAAGGGTGGTGGCTTTGCCAACCAGAGTAGAGAAGATGCATGTGCCAGGGGGCGAGGAGGCGTGGGTATGAGGACTCTCGTGAGTGCGTGCCCACGACTTGAAACCAGAGAGGAAGAGCATGCGTAATACAGCACAGTGTAATACAGCACAGTGTAATACAGAGGATGAGAGGGGGCTGCGGAGACCTTTAAAACGAACCAACAAACGAGCCCCCAAAAGGCTAGGAAAAAGGCAGGTCTGAGCTTTCCACGAGGCTTGGAATTTCACATTAAACTGCTAAATGTTCTGTTCTCCGTGCCTGCCGACTGCTCTGTGCTGGCCAGATGGGGAGTCTGAACCCCGTTCTAGACTTGGAACTTGTATAGCCTGTAGTAGATTAGTTGATGTTTCTGGACCTTAGTGTTATTAATCTTGGGAAGTAATTTTCTTATTACTTTGTTCCTGAGAGAGAGAGAGAGAAACTATGAGGAAAATTGAATAATGAAGTATAATTTCATTATAAAATGTCCCCTGGTCTGCACATTTAGTTATATTTTTATGACAGATGTTTTTTTTTTCCTCTGTGAAGTGAGGTGCACACCACCCAAGCCTTTTTGACGTTGGAGAAAGTCTGGAGTAGGCAGACCTGAACGTTGTTACACATATTCACTTGGAAGGCACACCTCAGGGACCAACTTCCTCCCACTAGGCCCTGCCTTTTAGCAGTCTATTGGTCGGTAAACTGACCGATGGATTAACCCATTGCTGAGACTGTTAACTTCACAAGCTAGTCACCTCTCATTTTGGCTACTGGCTGGAGCCAAACCTTCAACGTATAAGCTGTGTGTGTGTGTGTGTGTGTGTGTGTGTGTGTGTGCGTGTGAGAGAGAGAGGGGGGGTGGGGGAGAGAGAGAGAGAGAGAGAGAGAGAGAGAGAGAGAGAGAGAGAGAGAGAGAGAGAGAGAGAGAGAGAGAGAGAGAGATTGATTTTAACCAGAATGCCTGCTCAGGGAAGGAAGAGCTTGGCTCCAGACCCTCACATGATCGCTAGAGAAGCCAGTCCCGACTACGGCCATACCACCCTGAACACGCCTGATTTCCTCTGCTCTCTGAAGCTAAGCAGGGTCGGGCCTGGTTAGTACTCAGTACTTGGATGGGAGAATTAAGTCCCCTGTGGGCTTCTAGGTCTGCTTTCCGTCTTTCCGGACACGTGGTTTGTTAAGTGAGCGGATTAAACAAATAGCTGATTTTGCCAGGGCTGAGAAACAAGATCACACTCGTCTGTTTCGGGGGATGCCGCGCAACGTGCCGTGTGAGCGCAGCACGGGCCAGGCTAGTAAGATGACCGCCCTTGCGTAGTCTCGGGATGGGCTAAGATGACCGCCCTTGCGTAGTCTCGGGATGGGCTAGTAAGATGACTGCCCTTGCGTAGTCTCGGGATGGGCTAGTAAGATGACTGTCCTTGCATAGTCGACCACCATGGCTTCTCTAAGTGTTTAGTTAGTTCTGGGCTCCCAGGCCATCTGCAACCTTTGTTCCTAGCCCGTCCTGCCTAAACATAAACCCAAGTTTTGATAAATTTCCCCTTCCTGCCAGTCCCTCAGTGAGCTCTTCTTTTTATCTGATGTGAGTCCAACCCTTAGGTCAGTGCTACTTTCCTGGTCTGTAGTATAATGGGCATCAATAAGAATGTTGGCATGCTTATGTTCTGTGGCATCTGGGCTCCTCCTCCTCCCCCTCCTCCTCCCCCTCCTCCTCCTCCCCCTCCTCTCTCTCCTGCCCCTCCTCTCTCTCCCTCCTCCTCCTCTCCCTCCTCCTCCTCTCCCTCCTCCTCCTCTCCCTCCTCCCCCTCTTTCTCCTTCCTCCTCTTCTTCTTGATAATTCCACTGTACTGTTGTTGTTTTTTAATTCTTTGGCCCTATGGTTTTACTTTTGCTAATCAGAATGTCGCATTTTCAAGTGGCAGGACAGCTTTGCAAATGAGCCGAGATCTTTCTATCCAACTCCCCCGGCCCAATCAGAACGTGGTGAGAAGTCGAAGCAAGACGTACCCCAAGAGGGTAGCGCAAACTCAACCGGCTGGTAAGTAGTCAACCCCAGGGCGTCCGAATGATTGAGCAGCTTATTTTAGGCTGGTGTGTAAAATGTGCTCAGGTGGTGACGACAGTTACGGAATCTTCTTAGTTTTATGTATTATAATTTGAGTGTACAGTGTGCGTATGTGTATGCTAACATTTGTGTCCATGTATGTGTACACACATGGCAGTGCGTATATGGAGGTTGGGTCTCCCTTGGGTGTTGGTTTTCACTTTCTCTCTTGTTAGGGACAGAGTCCCCTTTTGGTTGTTCAGAGCTGCATATGCCGAGCTAGCAGGCCCGTGAGCTTCTGGGGATTGTTCTGGCTCTGCCTTCCGTGTTTCTGCAGGAACACGGTGATTGAAAGTGCACGATCGCTCCCTCCCTGCTGTTTCACTTAGGACAAGGGGGGGGGGGTTGGAACTCAGGTGCTCACACTTGTACTGCAGATGCCCAGCCACTCAGCCCCTCCCTAACTCTAGTCTCTTTGTTTCTAACTCTAGAAATTTTACTTTGACTCTGGAAAGTTTCGAACAATCCGTCATTACTATTACCTAATATTTTTGTTATTTTTCCGTAATTTGGAGGAGCCAGGGACTCATATATCCCAGCCTGGCCTGGACGATGTAGACAAGGCTGGCTTTGAACTCCTGATATTCTCTCTCCACCACCCAAGTGCTGGGATTCCATGTGTGGTCACCACACCTGGATAGTAATCAGGGATTAGCATGACTTCCCTGATGGCTATACTTTGTTTTTGGAGTAGTGTTAAGTGAGTCATTTCCTAATTTAGTGGATGTGAGATTGAACCAAAATAACCTTTAATGAAAGTTTTTTTTAATAAGAAAGCATTGTTGAAATGGTTGTATGGAACCCAGAACAGCCTTTTACAATTATGGCTATTCCTAATTTTTATCATGAAACATAAATAGAAGCAGATAAAAACCATACGTGCATTCATATGTGATCATGGGTATCTGTACACATATGAAGTTTACCTGGGCTGTCAATGCTCCAAATTCTCACCATCTCATGTCAGTCAGAGCAGATCCTCGTTTAGCTCACTGAAACCCACTGAAACTCATAAAAATTGTCATAAAAGATAGTTATTTACTGCTCACTGTAACCTCGTTGCTTGCACACCCCTTTTCTGAGCAAGCTGGTTTATGGAGTGCGTGTTTAATGTTGTGTGAACAGATGATGGTATGTGCTCTTTCTGTCGGCTTTATGTGCCGGACACCGAAATGCTTCTTTCTAGTCTGCCTATTCGTTCCCATGCTTACCAGTTTTTCTATTTTCGTGGACAATGGTGGACATTGTGCCATTTAGATTTTTTATTGCCGATACATAGTATTTTTTTAATAAAGCCACCCAATCAGTCAATTTTAATGTTTCGTGCTCAGAGCTCACAGGATTTTCTTGCAAAACACCTCTCTGGGCGTCGTCCGGTCCTCTCTGGGCATCGTCCGGTCCTCTCGGGGCATCATCGGTCCTCTCTGGGCATCGTCTGGTCCTCTCCGGGCCCTTACAGGTGCAGCACCTCCTTTAAGCCGCATGGTAACCCTGGAAGGAGGGCACAGGAAAAAAAAATATTTACATTTTATAGTGGAGGAAGACATGGTCCTAGGAGCTATAAGGAGGTGGGGGCTTTCTGTTTAGGGATAGGATCCCTTTTCTTCTGGGTCTCTCTTCTGTATTCTTTGAAATGCATTGTCAATAATAAGAATCAGCATCTGGCCATAGTGTGAGAACTGGTGCCACCAGGTTACCTTCCTGCCTTCCTTTCCTTTCCTGTCCTTCTCCCCTCACCCCCTGCTCAATTCCTTCCTTCTAAGGCAGAGCCTGTCCTTATAGCCCTGGCTGTCCTGGAACTCGGTATGTCCACCAGGCTGGCCTCCATCTCACAGAGATCTCCCTGGACCCGCCCGTCAAATGCTGGGATCAAAAGGCGTTTCCCACCAAGCCCAACAGGAGGTATCATTTGGCATTCACTTCTTCATTCTAGCCTCACATTAAAAGCCCATGGAGGAAGTGAGTGAGTTCGTTGTAAGATTCCTGAATGTAGGAATGACATCTGATTTACCACTTCTAAGGTCATTTTAATCTGTCCGACTTCGGGTTTCCTCTTCCCATTGGTCTTGGAGACACAGTGCGTTTTGGCGATTCTGTAGTGGCAAAAGTAAATTGCAGCAGATTTAAATTTGCAGTAGAGCACCTTTCTCTAACTCGCACGTCACTGAGAAGGGCCTAGCATCCCGGGAACAGTTGGGTCGAGATTACTGTGGAGCAGATCTGCCGTGCACAGGTTTTACTGCTCCTTGTGAGTTCAGTGAGACATGGAACACACTGAGGCAGTCACACAAAATGGATGTATTACTACTTACGGAGCGAGGGGCAAAAGAAGCCTAAAAGCCCCCGTGAGCTGGGGACATGTCTCCAGGCTTAGCAATGCTCCATGGGGCACGTAGAATCTTAACTTGAGTTGGTGTCACTCCTGCCACACCCGAGGGACTCCAAAAACAGCACAACTCTGTATTCTGTGATCAGATGGTCACATAGGGCACCGAGCTAAAGCTTTGACAGGCATTTATCATGAGAGAAGACAAGGAAATCCCAGGCTGCCCCGGGAAGGATCTCTAACTCAGGATGTCACCTTCCCTGGGAGGCACAGGAATAAGGGCTGGGTGTGTCAGACCATTCCAGCTTAGGACATTTCCCACACATTCTACAGCCAAGGAGAACCGGGTCAGCTAAGGTCACCCAGAGACTGCTCCTGCAAGCACATAGTAATTCGGTTAAGTCGGTGTCATAAGCATGCACTTCTAGTCTTCTAACGGCTGGTCTCAGGTTGTGTTTTAACAATGCGCTATCTTTTTATTCGAGTAATGTAAATCCCGTTGAGCTAGTCATCCCCTGCTTAAGCTCAATAAGCAAACTTTCCACTCTGTTGTACTTCTGAAACATCATGAACATAAACACCATCTCCTTCCCATCTTCATGTCCTTTCATGTTTCTTTTTGTCATTATTTTTAACTCACCGAGTCTAACTAATGCTACACATATGCATATAGGTGTGGGATAACACCGCCCCCAACGCATGTGTGCAAGGGCAGCTTTCCAATGCCCTCCCCCCAGCATGTGTGCAAGGGCAGCTTTCCAATGCCCTCCCCCCAGCATGTGTGCAAGGGCAGCTTTCCAATGCCCTCCCCCCCAGCATGTGTGCAAGGGCAGCTTTCCAATGCCCTTCACCCCCAGCATGAGTGCAAGGGCAGCTTTCCAATGCCCTCCCCCCCCAGCATGTGTGCAAGGGCAGCTTTCCAATGCCCTTCACCCCCCAGCATGTGTGCAAGGGCAGCTTTCCAATGCCCTTCACCCCTCAGCATGTGTGCAAGGGCAGCTTTCCAATGCCCTCCACGCCCCCCAGCATGTGTGCAAGGGCAGCTTTCCAATGCCCTCCCCCCAGCATGTGTGCAAGGGCAGCTTTCCAATGACCGCACTCCTGTGGAAGGAGTGTGGTGGCTGGGTCCTAAGTTGAAGCAAATATTTGAAGGGAACCCTCTACCCTCAGTGATCACTGTGTGCTTTCCTCTCCAACCCCCACCCCCAGACCCTGTGGAGGAGGCCATCCCTGTGAAGCCACTCTGAAAGAGACTGAGCAGGGGGGATCAACAACGAGGCTTCCTGGAATCCCTGCTGCCCAGAGAGTCCACCTGGCCAGCCTGTGCCCCCACCCCCTGCACACACACACACACACACACACACACACACACACACACACACACACACACACACACGGTTTCCCCAGAGCAGCCTTTCACTCGGGTCTCTGTTGCTAGGACACAGTCCTCGCTAACAGGTCAGGAAAGAAACAGTAGTTCTCATTTGTTAACATTTGTTTTTTTTTTAAACTAGGCTATGGATATAGTGTAGTTTAAAGTGTATCAAGTCCTGGATTTTATCCCTAGAGCTGGAAGAAGAAGAAGAAAAAAACTTAAATTGTACTGACTAAAAGGAAACAAGGTATTACCTTGCTGTAGTTATTTAAACTATTTGAAAAATTTGGTCATTAAAATGGCGGGGGCTGATTCTTACTTTTGCAGTCTTGGGGATTGAACCCAGGACTGCAAGCTTTACCACTGAACTACAGCCCCAGGATTGTTTCTTTTCATTTTGGGAGACTGGAGAGATGGCTCAGCAGTTAGGAGTAACTTGCTGCTCTCCCAGAGGAACTGAGTTTGGTTTCCAGCACCCATGTCAGGTGACTCACAACCAGCTCCAAGGCCACATGCAAACATACACACCTACAGATAATTAAAACTTAATAATAATATAAATCCATTATAAATTAAAATTTTGTCTTTGTCTTGAGTCAGGGTCCTGGTAAATTGTTCATGGGTAGTCTTGGACTGCCCTACTAGACCAGACTTAACAGTATTTAAAATAGGGACTATGGGGTTTTTTGTTTGTTTGTTTGTTTGTTTTTGGAGGGAGGGGCACTTTGGGGTTCTTTTGGTTGTTGTTTGTTTTTTTAGGACTCGCCCTGTATCTGGCAGAAGTGGAGTTATAGTTTAGAGAAGACATAGTTTCCTTTTTTACTCTAATAAAGCCAACTACTATTTTTTATAGGCCGAATCCTCTTAATATGATCACAAATAAGTTTTGAGATCTACAGTTTTGGAACCACCAGCACGTGTTCTCGCCTCTCGTTTCACAGCTTTGTATCAGTGACAAGCGACACTCGACTGAGCCGGTTGTTGCTAGTCTGTGCTTTAGCTTCTGGGCACTTTTTACTTTAGAAGGCATTCCTGCATTCCTTTGGAAGAGAAACGGTTCAGTCTGAGTACATGGCTTGCCCCTCTTAGGCCGCACCCCAGCTCTCTGTGAGTCTAAAGAGCCTTGGACTCACCTCTAAGTCAGGAATAATACATGTCTGGTAGCTTAAAGGTCATTGTGTTTGGAATCTGCCAAGCACAGGCCTTGGCACCTCTGTGAGGAAGTACATTCCAGAGTCAAGATTCTGCACCCTGCAGCCCACGGTCCCACCCAGAGGAGTTCAGTGCCAGGGCAGGCAGCCAGAGCATTCCAAAAACCAGAGCTGCCTCGGTGGCGAGAGCCCCAGTGTGTGGAGAGGAAGGGAGGTAGCGGGCAGGAAATACGCATGTTTGCACAGCCCTGTCTCTGATAAGGTCTTGGCAGCTCAGGCAGGTGAGCTCCTGCGAGAAGTATCTGCTGTTACGCAGGCCATAAGGACAGAATATTTAGCTAGAATCCAGAATTAGCTGTAAAGGAAGTAGTGGTGAAGCCAGCTGCGCTGGGATTACCTGGGGAGACATTTAATTTCTTAGAAACGTCCCACTGAAGGACACAGGAGTTGCAGTATCGTCCAGATCACAGAGAGCAAGACAGTGATTAGGAGCACTTGCTGCTCTTGCAGGGCCTGGGGTTTGAGTCCCTGTATCTGCGCTGCGGTTTGTAACCTGTGCCTGATTCTAATTGTAGGGGACCCGATGCCCTCTTCTGGCCTCTCTGGACACCTGGCATGAACACGGTACACACACATACATGCAGGCAAATATTCATACACATAAAAGTTTTTTTTTGAAGCAAGACAGTGTCATTACTCTTCAGGTTGTGTGGAAGGGGCCATGGACACCACGGCCCAAAGGACATGAGGATTGTTGGGCTGAGCGTGCAAGCAGACAGCTACTGCCGAGGCCACGGCAGCAGGATAAATCCATCATGCGCTCACGATTCTTCCAGTGTTGTAGGAAGCACGAAGCCTGGATATTTATGTGTACTTTTTGGCATTTAAAATATTAGTAATCGATTTCATTTAGAGGGGAAAAAAACTATGTGCTAAATCTGAGTGACAGATTTGCTGTGTAGACTGCCTTTTTGGGGACCCCTGGTTGGAAGAGTTAGGGTAACTGGTTTTTACCTACCCCATGGCTATGAGATGATGCCTCCACCTGTCTTGGGGCATCCAATGGGCTTCTCTGGTAGCCCCTGGGAGAATCATATTCCCTCCCAGTACTCCATCGCTTGTGGGGAGCACTTGGTTCTTAGTAGGTCGGTCAGCCAATACAGGGAAAGATGTTGCCATAGCTCTGGGCCACTGCAAATGATTTGCCTGCAGGTAGCTGGCTGGCATGTCTCTTGGAGACATGAGGTAGGTCCAGCCAGAACCGTAGATCCGGGGAGAACTTTGGATGCAGCCAAGAAGAGTTTCACCTACTGCAGTGTAGCTGTGGACCGCGGGAGAGGCAAAGCGAAGAGAGAGACATTCACTGGGCGCCTGCTCTGGCCATGCACTGCGTTAGATGTGGGTCAGCAGGAGCCCAGCGCAGTGGGTGGCCATCAGATCTTTTGTGGCAAGGCAGAGAATAAAAGGAAGCTGTGCGAGTAGGGTATCCATCGATCCGAGGTGTATCATTGACTCACCTGGTAAATACAAGAAGTCAGACCTGGTTAATCTGCATTTAGCCTCAGAGGTCCATGTGATTAAGTGTTTAGTATTTTAAAGGCACATAACTACCTCAAGCCTCAGTTTCTTCATCTGGCAAGTGGGGATATTAACCCTGCCTCCTGGGTTATTGCCCTGGAGATGATGTTTCAAACAGGTTGAACATCTTAGTGTGCTTTGCTGGGGGCTTGGTACACTTTAGTTTCCTTCTGAAGTCCACCCTTCAGTGTTTGAATTATACTTACGATGCGGTCATACAAAGGATAATATGGCTGTTATGGGGCCATGGGAGGTGGCCAGTGGGGGATGGGGCAATGGGGGGGGCGTTTGCGTACAATGCATGGGGATGGAGAAGGAAACCGGGGACTTTCATGTCACTGAACAAGAGTCAACGTTAACAGAATGTAAAGGAAGAGGGCAGTTCAAGACACACTCTGGGTGCTTTTTCCCCCTTTGTTTTTTGAGATAGGGTTCTAGGCTGGCCATGAACTCATAGTCTTCCTGCCTTAGCCCCTCAAGGTCTGGGATGAACATGATCAGGCATTGTCCTCCTTACTGGCTTCCTGCTTTTTAGAGTAGCCTTTAGTCCAAATTGATTTCTTGGTGGCAAGAAAACACTGTTAAGTTTAACATCTTTACACTCTCATAAGTTCAGCAATGCAAAACATTCACCGTGTTGTGTAGACAGTTCTCTACAACAGTTTTCTCTTGTAACACCGAACCTTGGTTCTCACAAACACTCCCTCCCGCCAACTGCCTTTCTGCTCTCTCTCACACCCCCCCTTCAAACGCTCATTGTTCTCTCCCTGTAGGGATTTCCTATGACTGAATTGGAAAGTAGCTTCTTGGAAGGCATTTGTAACAGGGGCCCATCGGACAGTTTTCAAGTTCCCATAATTGATCATATCTGTGCCTGGGTGGCTTCCCTGATTGAAGGAATTAGATGTTAGTCCTACTGGGTGCATTTTCACACCAAACAGACAACAGAAAGAGAACATACCAAGACAGGATGAAGCCAAAGGCTGCACAGAGGGGAGACAACATTGTTGAACAAACAGGACACGGAAACACCAGGGCTTTGGATGAAGAGATTCTTCGTAAGCTCTGCAGCTTCACCTGTCTGATATGAGCAGGCTGGGTTCCAGGCACATTGTAACTACCTTAAATACCCAGCAGTCGGGAAC